TTGAAAACAATAAATTCCTTGTATTGCACTTAATTGGGGATGGCTCTTAAAAGCAGCATTTGTTTAAAGACACTGTCATTTGAGGAGGCAGAGTGGCTTGTTGGCCAAGCAACGGATTGAGAAAAACCTAGCGACCAGTTTTGATTCCAGCTGTGCCCCTAAAATATTTCTTGTGACCCTGAGTAAGTCACTTAACGTTACTTCTCAGCATTCTTAAATCAAAATCCCCCTTCCCCCTTGTTAAGAAGAGCCTTGAAAAAAATTATTTTTAGCAAATTAAGTTCTGGCACCTGAAACAGAATGGAAGCCCTGCTGGGTGTTTATACAAGAAGGAAGGTTAGAGGTTGTTTTAAGCTGCACAACATTTCTTCCTCTTATTTCTTCCAGTCTCTTAGTCCCAATAAGTAGTCTGCTTATTGGAAACTTACTAGTTAATAAAAGCTCCTTGGTGGTAAATCATTTTAAATTGGCAGTTGCTCTGGGGTGCTGTGCTTGAGAGAGGCTCCCTTCCCAGTCTTTCAACAAAAAATTCTGTGGTCTCTGACCTATTTATTTAGAAGTAAACTCAGCCTTACCAAGCGTAAAAATGATTGAGAAAGAATACAGTTTCACTGGTCCGTGCCATGGGCTGGGGTACATATTGACTGGTTTGGAAGAGGCTTCTTTCTCCAGTTTTTCTTTAGTGTTCTTCCATGAGCTAGTATATTAGTTGCAGTTGTACTTTGCACAGACACTAATTAGAGAGCCATCAACATTGGGGTCCAAAGGCTTACTGACAATGCAACTGTCATAGTGGCGTCTTAATTGGTTGAGTGTAATTGTCATTAGGCAGCAATAAAGACATCTGGAGCCCCGGAGAAAAATCAGCCTTTTCTCCTACCTCCCTTCGATTTTTGTTCTTGCTTCCTCTGGCCAATGTTGTTAAGCATTTTTAGATCACATTTAGGGCTTGGTCCAGGTCCTTCTGCCCCAACCAATGTTTTACCCTCATGAAAATGTCTGTTTTGTTAGCACGAGTTCATTAGCACTCAGCCTGACTCCCATTGCCATACTTGCTTCCACTTGTGTTAGATTCGAGAGCCTGCTGCTGAGTCATCACACAGTACCTGCTGAAATAGGATTATTTATTCTCTGTTCCCATCAATAAAGGAGACATAGAGTCTCATATTTTACCTCCTGAGTCATTTCGCAGCAAAACATTTGTGTTATTATTGTCCTGTTTGGCCGTGAAGAATGGTGTAATTTAAATACACATCTGTGGAAAAACCCATGTTTACTGAAATAATTTAGCTTATCCCATGTTTTGAAGAGATACACTTTAAACAGATTAGAAGTAAATGCAAGAAGTCTAACGCATATTGATGCATTGCCTTCTGGGTGTTTCACCCATCGTTTTTGATCATCAGCACTGAAAGGTAGTTGCTGAAAGTAAAGGAGGTGGCACTCCAGCCAGTAAGGTTGTTGCTTTTGGACACTTCCTTTCAGTCACCATTTATTTACTGAGTATTGGCTGCATGAGGCACTCTAGTGGAGGCTACGGCGTTGAGATATGGCTCTTCTCGAGGACTTTACAGTCCAGTTGAGGAGATACGACCTGCACATATGAAATATAGCAATAACTGCTATATATTCAGGTAAACGGCAGATAGTTGAGGCAGAGAAGGCTTCATGGAAGAGGCAGGGCCTGTTCTAGAGCTTGTGGAGTTGGCAGGATTGGGCTATCTTGATGGTTCTCAATCTTGCCTGCATGTTGAAAGCACTGATGCCTGGTTCCACCTCCCAAGAGTCAGGTTTAATTGGTCTGGGGTGGCTTGGGCATCACAATTTTTGACAGCTTTCCAGGTGATTCTAATGTTCATCCAAGGTTGAGCCCTGCTGGGTCTGGTTGTGAGGAGAGAAGGGATTTCAGAAAGATAATGTGAGCAAGACTGTTTGAAGCCAGGGAAGGGCAGGCTTGTCCGGAGGCAGACTCATGCTAAGAAAGAGGAGAAATGAATTCGTGAAGAGTTTCTAGTGCTAGACCCAGTAATTAAAACTTCCTTCAGTAAGGTGTTAAGGGGTAAAAATTTACGGATGGCTTCCTAGGTGTCAGATGCTGTTCTGGTCATTGAATGTACAGCTTTAAACAAGACCCGGACCCTGACCTCAGAGGCTTATAGCTTAGTAGGGGGAGACAGACAGATAATCACACACATAATTGCCATGAAGGAAAAGTTTAGGCTGCCAGCAAGGTAGATCATAGGGGGACATGGTCTCTTTTGGAGAGTACAGGATAAAGGGAGTGTTTCCAGAAGAATGATTCACGTAGTCAAGTATTGTTGAGAGCTTGGCTTGTACCGGGCTGATTGAAGGGGGTGGGTGAGGCTCAGAAGTAGGGAGACTCATAGCCCAAGTCTCAGGTACTGGGGGCTGCAGGCCAGGGTGGCATTCCAGAGAATGAGAACAGAAAGGGTTTAGTGACCTGAATGTATATGTCAGTGTGGGTGGTAGGCAAAGGGGATGGTGAAGGGACCCCTCCGTTTCTGCACCAGTGATCTGGGACGGAAGGTACTATTGACAAAAATAAAGAGTTCAGAAACAGGCTAGCTTTTTGAAGAGAGCATGTATTTAATCTGAGATGTGTGGAGCTGCAGTGTAAATGAGACACCTTCTTTTATGGAAGAAAAGGCTTATCAGGAACCTTTTAGATAATGATAGAGTGCTATTACCCGTGGGATCCCTGCCCTCTCTCCACCCCTAATGATAAGAAATATCAAAAATTTATATTTTATGGTGGGATTTTGTGTGGTTCACAATTAAATCACCTTTTCCAAGGTTTGTTGTCATTGCTTTGCCTCAGGACTCTGTTTAAAGGGGACCAGAGAGACTGGAGCACAGTCCAATTACATTCTGTCCTCCAGACTCCCCACTCCCTACTGGGGGCCCTAAGGGATGCCTCAAAGAACAGCAGGAAGACTACTGGTGTGGTCCAGTGTACCCTTTCCGTCGAGTCGATTGCAGTTCACAGCGACCCAGCAGGAAAGAGTGGAACTGCCTCGTAGGGTCTCCAAGGCTGTAATCTTTACGGAAACAGACTGCCACGTCTGTGGCTGGTGGGTACACACCTGCAAGCGCTTAATCACTGCGCCACCAAGGCTCCTTGTGGTCCAATATATATTAGTAAAAAATAGAATGACCAACACTGACAGAAAATAAATACACTTTCCTGGTTTGTGCACTTCTTATTCTCAGAGTTCCTTCATTCTCTGATCTCCTAAACTCCCTCTTTCTTCTTTCTTATACTTACCTTCTATTTCTGAAAGACATTGCCACCCTCATTATTTTCTGAACTGGCTGTTTCCTTTCACATAGAATTTAATCCAAAAGATTAAATCACGTACAATCCAAAAATTCAAACGTGTTGTCTCTCTTCACGTCTGGAGCTAAGCAGGTAGCCTTCCTCCGGGGACTGGCCTGGAGTCGTTTTCGGCAGTTCAAGTCGTCCCTGGTTGTTGTGGGGCAGCATCGTCTTGTGCTTTGCGCAAGTTTCCAATTGAAGAAGGGGGATCCGGGCTGCTGCTTGGAGAGCCCGGAGCCAGCACGTGCCTTGGCTGTGATGATATCAATATCCGCCCTTGCTTGGGTATCATTGCCAGTCTTCGTGATACTTGTGTCATGAGCGTTTTTATGTTCTGGAGGATCAGTGGCCAAACAGAGGTACATCAGTCTAGTGTTAGAAAGCACATCTCTGCTATTGGGCTCTTTACACCACACTTACCCTGTCCATCTCCATCCTGCAGGTAGAGCGCTGCATTCTCCAACCAGGGAATTTGTGGGACAGAATGACCTTTGAATGATATCACTTATGTATTTACTGTAGATGAACAACTTGAGGGAAATACTCCTACATTTTGTAAACGAAGCCCTCCTGAATCAGAGTCTTCTTAGTTTCTTTATTAAGACACCTTGCATGAGAAATTGACCTTCTGTAGCCACTTCATAAATGCATCATGTCCTAGATTGCAGTGATGAAATTGATCTCAGAGGTTATCTTTTTTGACTGTATACTTTTAATGTCGGATCAAAGGAATGCTGAGGCCTCTGTGGCTAGGCCCTTAGGAGGACAGTGAACCCCCTTGAAATTGTCTCCCAGTTTTTGTGCGGGCACATCATGAGCTCTTACAGGCATCTCTAATACTCCTCCCTAAAGTTGTTTCAGTGTTGAATAGAACCCTCTGTAGCAATCAAAGACCTTAGCTTAAATACCTCAGTGGCAGGCAGCACACCACTTCATCATCTGTCCATTCCATTATCTCAGAGGCCTCATGTCTGAGCCAGGGCTGCCCTGCCTGGGCTTTGATTGAGAGAGTCATTTGTTGGAGTGGCAGTAGTAATAGGAGAGTGAGTGCTCCTATTTTCTAAGTGGGCAAAACTGGGGAGCGTCATGCATTTCGGCAAGAGCTTTTCACAAGAAGGCGGCATTGTCTGGCTGCTAAAGGCAAGATTTAATTGTTTCAGCAAATCAATTAGTCTTTAGGGACTTTAATCAGTCAAATCCGATGCATGGATGAGGTATTAGAAAGCTTGTGCCTGTAAGACCATTAGTTCTTAGTATCTCTGCAGCGTTTCTCTCTCTCTCGTCTGTGTGTCTCTCTCTGTGTTAATACTGCTGCTTATACACATTTATGTTACTGATACTTTTAGGGGGAGAACTTAAGGTAACAGATTGGTTGTAATAGTGTAAAAGGGAAAAGACAAGATAATCTCGATACCCAATTTATTATGGCTTTCTCATTTCAAATTGTCACCATCATGCTGTGAGAACGTGAAACATGTTGATGACCTTCTGTTATCCAGTTGATGTTGTCTCCCGTTGCAGTTCCTCATCTAAGCTATGCTGCAGGAGTGACTGTATACCGACCACATCGTACACCCTGTTGTTTCAAGGCTCTCTCCATTTTCTCCACTTCGGCCCTGCTTTTTAAGCCCTTCTTGGAACCAAGTGTGTCCTTCTTTTCCAGGTATACATCAGGGGACGTAAGGGTGTGGGACACCCGCACCTGGGACTACATAGCCCCCTTCCTGGAATCAGAGTATGAGGAGGACGAGCTTGGAATGCAGCCATATGTCTCCTTTGTGAGGATAAACAGCTCACTGGCGGTAGCGGCTTATGAGGATGGTAAGTAACCGCAACCCTCCTCCCTGTTAAGGAAAAAAAAAGCTTTACAAAAATTAAGCAGCTGTGGCCGGCTCCCCCGCCATAATCCCTCCGTATATACATGTGGGCACACACACGTGTACACACACACACACTCCTGCCCTTATGTGAAGAAGTTGGCCAGTAACCCTCAGTGCATTAGTAGGCATTGGAACACAGCACCCGTTAAAACTGGTGTTTAATTCCTACTGGAACTGTCGGGCTAGGTTTTAGTGCCAGACACGAGGCTGGCCAAGCCATCTTAAGCAAATAACTTGTTTGGTGTAAAATATTAAATATACTTGGCCTGCTTTTCCTTTAGCCTCCACGTAGTCCAAAGGGAATAGTGAAAAGGGGATAGACATAGATAATCTATTGACAAATACAGAAATAGAAAAATAAAAGTCAGTGTCTTCCTTTCCCCGGCACTGACATACTCTACAGGGTAATTTACTGTAATACAGTACTATGGTGTCTCTCAGGGACTGAGAGTTCTTTCTGTGTGTGGGCGACTGTAGATTTATAGCACTAAGGTAAGGATAATTTAAAATTAGTTTTACCTGAGTAATGAAATCTCAACAGTTTATAGCTAATAGACATAATACTTACAATAGCCATAATATCCTATACTCATACCTCTTACGCCCTTGACCTCCATTATGTTGTAAGTTTGAATCTCCAAAAGCTTGGTTTCCTCACTGGCCTGAAAATCGGACCACAAAGTATTTTCAAATGCTCGTGTTGATGTCATGGCACCATTGTAAATCTTCAGAGGCAGTGTAGCAGTATTGGTTGGCTCAGAGGGACAAAATTAGAGTAAAGTAGCAAATGGGGGAATTTTATATTCATACGTAATTTAAAAATAAAAATTAGGGCTGAAACCTTATACATTTTCATTTTATTACTTTAACAACATGAACTCTGTTCTTTTGGTTTGACATTAGTAGACACCACTGATGGATTATTTTCTTCTCAGCCTATAAGCTAAGACATCAGCTAAGATGTCTCTTGTATACCAGCTACTAATTATTTTATGTGTGTTCATTGAGATCCTGGATAGATAACATAAGAGCAGCTTGAGCATGTTTGCTACTTTCTAGATCATCTGTGAGTTCTTGCATTTTTTAAAAACAGTTATGCAAAGGTTGCAGTGCTTTTAAGGTTAGAATCATATAGTTTTAGAATCATCTAGTAGCCATGCTTTGCCATACACACTCGTTCTCCTACAGATGGGAAACTGAGGTCCCTAGAGGCCCGCCAAAGGGTTTGTCTGCAGTCACATCACTAATCCATAGTGAATCCAGAACTATGATTGTGGTCTTCTGGGCCAGGCAGTGGGCATAATGCTGTTTATATCTTACTACACACAGAGACTCTTGTAGAAATGGGTGCCTGACTGATTTGCACCCCATCTTATATCTTGTGAGCTTAGAAGTACATCTTGAGGTGATGTGCAGGCATGCTACTGGTTTTATATTGTTAATTAGAATTATCCCTGTCACCAGCATCCCTGTTGTTGGATGGAAATATTGGAAGACTGTAGATATGACAGAGAAGATACTTTCTATGGTAAATACTTGGCAAGTAATTGTCAAAATATACTTTACATACTTAATTAAAAAAATATATAGTTAAAATTCAGACAACAAAAATACATAAAACAAAAAGTTGAGTGTTCTCCCTGTTCCCCAACTGTCAGTCCCTTTCACATTTTACACAGGGGTCATGCTCTGTATACCTCTCTGTACCTTGCTTTTTTCATCTAATGACATACCTTGGCAATCTTACGGGTAAGCCTTCTTTTTTTTAATGGCTGTGTATTATTGCATTATGTGACTGTGCTATATTTATTCGGCCTTTATTTATACACATTTGGGTTGTTTACTTTTTGTTACTAAAAACAGTGCTACAGTATCCTTGAATAAATACCATGATGGACTTGTGCAAGTGTATCCTTGGGGTAAATTATGAGTACTTATTGGGTCTAAGGCTACGGATGCTTTAAGTTTTGACAGCTACTGCCAAATTGCCCTCCAAAAAGGTTTCACCATTTTGTATTCTCCTCTGAAGTATATGAGAGGAGACTGTTTCCTCATACTTGTCTGATAGGTGAAAATGGTATTTTGATGTTGTTTTTGTTTGCTTTCTTTAATTTTAATTATGATACACATCAATCACTTCATTGAGTTATGAGTTGCATTTATTTCTTTCTCTGTAAATTGCTTGTTTCTGTTTTGTGCCCTTTTTCTTTTTGGTTATTAATCTTTTCTGGTTGAAAAGAAACGGCAAAGAGAATAACCCTTGTCATAGTATTTCAAATAATTTTTCAGTTTGTCATTTGTTCTTCAGTAGACTTTGTTTATGGTTTATTTTTCTAGATAGTAGTTGTGTATATATGTGTGTATATATGCAAAGGCATTCAACTCTGTGGATCATAACAATTTATGGTTAACATTGTGAAGAATGGAAATTCCAGAAGACTTAATTGTGCTCATGTGGAAGCTGTACATAGACCAAGAGGCAGTTGTTTGAACAGAACAAGGGGATACTTCGTGGTTTAAAATCAGGAAAGGTGGTCAGGATTGTATCTGTTCACCATATTTATTCAATCTGTATGTTGAGCAAATAATCTGAGAAGCTGGACTATATGAAGAAGAACGGAGCATCAGGATTGGAGGAAGGCTCATTAACAACCTGTGATCTGCAGATGACACAGACTTGCTTGCTGAAAGTGAAGAAGACTTGAAGCATTTACTGAAGAAGATCAAAGACCACAGCCTTCAGTATGGATTACACTTCAACATAAAGAAAATAAAAATCCTTACAACTTGATCAATAAGCAACATCATGATTGCGGTGTGGTGAATTACTTAGTGTATGGCCTTTCTCGTCATGATCTTGTAACTCCCACCCAGGTGACTGGGCGGGGCTCTGCAAATACGATAATTGTGGCCCAGCAGGGGGATTGGTCACTTTTGCCTTAAAGGAGAGCCAATTGCAGAGCAGAAAGAAGAGCCCACCACCACCAAGGAGGAAGAGATGGATAGGAGAACCGGCAGAAGGAGATGGCCTGGTAGGCTTCCCAACACACACAGAGAGAAAGCTGAGTACCTTTGGGCAGAGGCCAAGGGCCAGGGAGAGGTGTGCCTTCGAGCACAGCTGGGTAGAGGCTATCCCGATGGGAGAATTGTGTCCTCAGTGTCCTTGAGCCTAAATTGTAACTGTTACTTCCCTAATAAACCCCATAGTTATGAGTATGGTCCGTGAGTTCTGTGTTACCATTGCAGTGAATTACTGAACCCAGCAGAGAAGTAGAGAGTGCTGTGCGAGGGACGGTTGGTATCAGAATTAGTAAAGATGGTGGAGAGAGGAGGTGTGTCTGACCTCCACCTCATAGGAATCAGGCTTGGGCTGTTGATGTTGATTCTCCTTCTCCCATGTGAAGTTAGAGGAGGTCAGACACCGCTCCCCATGTCGTTTTTACAGTGACAAACGGAGAACAGATTGAAGTCGTCAAGGATTTCATGTTACTTGGATCTACAGTCAATGCCCATGGAAGCAGCAGCAAGAAATTAAATGACATATTGCATTGGGAAAATCTGCTGCAAAAGACATCTTTAAAGTGCTGAGAAGCAAAGATGTCAGTTTGAGGACTGAAGTGCACCTGACCCAACCCATGATATTTTCAGTTGCCTCATATGCATGTGAAAGCCGGGCAATGAATAAGGAAGACCGAAGAAGAATTGATGCATTTGAATTATGGTGTTGGCGAGGAATATTGAATACCATGGACTGCCGGAAGAACGAACAAATTTGTCTTGGAAGTACAGCCAGAATGCTCCTTGGAAGCGAGGATGGCGAGACTTCGTCTCACATAGTTTGGACAGGTTCTCAGGAGGGACCAGTCCCTGGAGAAGGACATTATGCTTGGTAAGGTAGAGAGTCAGCGAAAAAGAGGAAGACCCTCAATGAGATGGACTGACATGGTGGCTGCCACAGTGGCTTCGAACATAACAACGATTGTGAGGATGGCACAGGACCAGGCAGTGTTTCGTTCTGTTGTACATGGGGTCGCTGTGAGTTGGAACTGACTCGATAGCACCTAACAACAACTTATATGTGTGTGTGATATTTTTTTCTAACCCATAAGTAAGTGGGCTTTATTTTTTAATTTAAGATGTTTGACTAGGTAGGAAATTTTAGGGTTCAAAGATCAAAGCAGTATAAACAGTATACATTGAGAAGTCTTGCTTCCACCCTTTTCTGTCTGCTCCATTTCCCCCTCCATTAAAAAAAAAAAAAAACAATCCAAACCCATTGCTGTTGAGTTGATTCTGACTCATAGTGACCCTACAGGATGGAGTAGAACTGTCCTGTAAGGTTTCCAATGAGTGGCTGGTGGATGTGAACTGCTGACCTTTTGGTTAGCAGCTGTGCACGCTTCTTGTGTATCCTCTCAGTATTTTTGTAATGCAGATATAAGCAAATACGAATATCTATTCTTATTCCTTCCCCCCTGTTTCCACAAAATGTAGCATATTATTTTACATTATTCCACACTTAGCTTTTTTCGGTTAATAATATATCTCAAAGGTTGCCCATATCAATGGAAAGGGCGCACCCTCCTTTTTCACACCTGCAGAATAAGTATTCCATTGAGTGCAAATGCTGTCATTTATTTACACAGTCCCTAACTGAAGGACAATTGGGTTGCTTCTGATCTTTTGCTTATTACAATGTTGTAGTGAAAAATCTTGTACATATGACATTTCATATGGGTGCAAAAAGGATAGTTTCTATTAAAGGAATTTTGGGGTCAAAAAGTAAATAGAAATGAGATGATTCCATTTTGTCCTCTCACCAGCAATGCGTCCATTTTCTCACAGCCTTAGCAACAAAATAAGTTTCAGACTTTCTGATCTCTGTTGATTTGATAGCTAGAGAATGCTATCTGAATACTGCTTAATTTGCATTTCTCTTAG